TATTTTAGAGCATAATTTTGAAATGAGTCTGAAGCGGTTTAGGGAGATTCTCAGAAGAACTTAACTAATGCTGGTTTGAAAACAAATTCGGCAACATATCATTTTGTTAAAAAAAAAGAAATTGAAAACTATGACGAAAAGTACACAACATTATTTAAATGTTGGAAATTTTTGATTACATATCGATACGTCATGAGTGAACTATTTTTTCTGCGCGTCCAAGTACTAATGTGACAAATGGTAGGCAGAAAAATAAACCATATATGGAAACGGCTAGTCGTGAGTGGCCGACCGGAGGGAGGCCGACGAACGACTAGACGTTGATTTAGAAGGCTTATCGTAACTGTAATAAGTGAAAGCTGAGGCACCTTCAGAAATTGTCAAATGATCTGATTCTTGAACTAAAATAATTCATTATTAGACATTTGACGTAATATAGTCTATCGAGTAAAGGATTTGTGAATGCTAGCAGGGCGTTATTTGCTTGTTGTGTTGTAAGCAAATATAGATGTAGTTGTGCCGTCCTAAAGGTTTCAAGAAGCTGTGCAGAATACTATAATTTTGAAAAAAATATGTTTTTTTCAAGTTATTCTGATTTGGGGTGGTCGCCACTTGGTCATGCTACTGAACTCGCCGAACAAACAGAAACAACTAAACGACATCTGATTTCGTTTTCTTAAAGAAACAGTCATATTGCAATACATATCCCACTTAAAAAGCCATAAATGTTTCTCTCTCCGTTTTATTCAGAAAAGTCAGAGTTCAGGATAAGAAAATATGACATCCCAAACAACTGAATATGATCATATATCTGTATTAAGCTTGATTAGAGTTAGTCAAGGATAAGCAACTGAAATTCGAGGTCTGCTTCTGATGATGGTACAACATTTAAATGTCTAGCGAATTATTTAAGGGTGCTCGCTCTAGAGAAATCTAGTGTTGAAAGGCGGCTAATATTTTTCAAAACATCTGTTTTTTGATTCTTCAACTATATTAAGGTTCCTCTACCCAGATTATTTTCAAAATGATAGAATTCGAGAATGTTCTTTATCACAACTGGTTTAAACTCTTTAAATTTGAAGAGTTTTTTCAAAAAAACAAGTAACGCGACGCAAACGTCGCTAACCCTCTACTGAAAGGATGTGATTTCGTTGAACATATGGCACTGACGAAGAAGAAGACCACAGAACTAGTGTGCTGCTATGCATCTATAAAAAGATAAATAGTTCTCGTCACCGTGGCCCGCTTGCTAATTGATTGGATTTGATTTAACCATCGTGGGGTGTGAATGTGAAGTGTGGGTGTGGAGTGTGGGGTGTGGATGTAGAGTGTGGGTGCGGGGTGTGGGGTGTGGGTGTGGGCGTATATCTTCACTTCATCCATACTCAGACATGTCCCACACCCACCCACCCACCCGTACCCCACGATGGTTAAATCAAATCCAATCAATTAGCAAGCGAGCCATGGTGACGAGAACTATTTATCTTTTTATAGATGCATAGCAGCACATTAGTTCTGTGGTCTTCTTCGTGAGTACCATATCTTCAAGGAAATCACATTCTTTCAGTAGAGGGTTAGCGGCGTTTGCGTCGCGTTACTTGTTTCTTTATAATAGTAATACGTTGTCGCATACAATTCACTGCATTTCTTAAGCTATTTTTCCACTGAAGATGAACATGCTGATGACAACTATGCAAAAACAATTTCTTCAAAAGAGACGTTAGTAAAACTATTAATTTACTTTGTATGTATTTATGAAAAAAAAAGAATTTTCAATTATACCTGTATTAGTCTGAGGATAACTGTTCAATAAATTTCAATTCTTGTTTTTGATCATTTGATAATAGTTTTGGATAAATTTTCTTAATCAAATCAACAATCATCAGTTAATTTAAATCTTGAATTTATTAATGATTGAAGAGTATCATGTGAAAAATCAAGTTCTTGTACGACTTAATCATTTTTATTTTGTTCTTCCTCATCGTTTTTATTATGAAATAGTAAATCAAATGCACTATGTCGATATTGTTGTTGTTCTTGATGATGTTTTAGGGATGATTGTCACATTCAAACTTCATTTTCTGTTGTTACATTTGTATTATGATAATTATTTTTCTTTCGATTTATACTATGATTAAGAACTTGATGAATATCTTCATCATCATCCTCAGTCGATCTTGCATCATATAATAATTGTTGATATTCATTTGATAATAAAGGTGGAAAAAAATGTTGAACATGAAAATGAACTTGATTTGTCGCTGTTGCTGAACGAAGAATATGAATAACATGTTTATGGTTAATACCTATAGCTATTTCATCATTTATTGATAAAATTTGGTCATCAACCTACATATAAAAATTATATAAAACTATTTTCCAAAATTAATGTCCTTGTACTACTGCAGAATAGGAGCATTCTCACTGTTTTTTACATAGAGAACAGAAAAAAAATTCATTGATGCAATACATAATCAATACATTGTGACAATGAGGGGGTTTCTCTTCTGCAATAGTACCCATACGAACTGAGTTTCACGCAAATGAGAGTACTGCACTACAGCCATGGTGTGACAATAGTTCAATTAATTTTGTTGAAAACAATTATAAATGAAAGACGTTGTTAAATCAATTCTCTTGCTATTAGTTTACCTTCTTGGTTTTAGTTTGTCAGAACAATTTAACATGACAAAATAATCTGTGTCACTGCTATACTTCATATGGTCAAATTATCATCTTGCAAAAATGACTTTTATGTCAAGTGCATGAGTAGATTTCGAATTCAACATTGATTGGCATTTCTTTCATTGCTTATTATCATTAGATCCAGTATTGAAAATAGGACTATGTGATTATACAGACTAACCCATAGATAACTAGGCAACAAAAAAAATGTCGTGTCTCCAGTCTGTTTTAATCAATTAGACTGATTCTTTTCTTCCTCGGTAAAGAGCTGCGAGTTCTTCTGAGCCCAGATGTGGCCGAGTCGATAGTGTCTAAAGTTTTATTTTTTGTTGGATCCGTAGATATCTACATGGAAAAGTGAATAACAAAAAAATAACTGTATGTTGACTTTTTTCTGAGGAGTAGTCAACAAATAATTAAACCCTTGATAGACATAGAATGCCAGATATTGGTGAAAAAAAACCTAGGATCTGGATCTGTCGGATCCAAATCCACTGATCTCCTCGGTCTGCATCTCTAGGATAGTACATATGATTAAAAACTTCAAATGTATAGCCTTAAGAACGGCTGAGATCACGGTGGAATACTTTCGACCAGTAATGTATTTCTTTATTGTGAGGCCACTACTGCTAGTTAAAAATAATGTCCATTGATTCTATTACCGAGAAAAAAATTTCAGTCCAATTGATTATAGCAGGCTAAATATATTGAGTGTTTTTATCTTCTAATTATTTATGGGCTAGAACGTGGGTTCTTTATTAAATAGTGTCACCAATCAGTACCTCCTGATCAGATTGCATATTTCTTCGTTAAAATTTCTATCAATAAAAATTACTAGTTAGATTTATCTTAATTTAATATTTATTCAGAGTTACATATGTAAATAATTGTTCTTGAGTTTTTATTTTTATATTGAAAATGAAAATCTACAAAATGACAAACGAGATGGAACTATTCTTTTTCATTATAGTAGAGTTCTATAATATTATATCATTGTTGTAATTATTTACATTCTTCTAATTTATTTTTAATTTCAGCATCCATAGCTGAATCATGATTACGTGCATAATTATTTAATTTATCAGATGCTAATTTAAATTTTTCTTTTGCTTTATCACGTGTACCTTGCCTAAGTAAAGCATTACCCCAATCAATATTTGCTTGTGCGACATCAACAGCAAATTGTGGTAATAAATAAAGATCATCATTATCACAAACAACACGTACTTTTCTAAATTTTTTTGCCCATGTTTCATGAAATTTTACATTTGCACAATAAATATATATAGCATAAACTTGTGGTAAATCATGAACTTCTGGAACAATTTTTTGTCCAAGTCCACCAGATGTTATAAGGGTGTGGGTGTGGATGTAGCTAGAAAATAGAATACCCACACCCACACCCATGATGTTTCGTATGTTATATTTGAAGAATAATTTTGAAATCTTCATATTGAAAGTAAATATCTGATATCTGCTTTCTGAGAATTTTCTAAAATTATAGGTAGTATATGATGTTTCATATGTTATGTTTGAAGAATAATTTTCAAATTTTCATATTGAAAGTAAATATCTGATATCTGCTTTCTGATACTTTTTCAAAATTATAGCTACTATATGATGTTTCATATGTTATATTTGAAGAATAATTTTCAAATTTTCATATGGAAAGTAAATATCTAATATTTACTTTCTGATAATTTTTTAAAATTGTAGGTAGTATATGATGTTTGATGAGTTGTGTTTGAACAATAATTTTCAAATTTAATATTTAAATTTATATCTGATACCTGTTTTTGTGACCATATTTATGAATCGTATGTCAAAGTAAATATCTGATTTCCTTCTTAAAAATCAGATATCAGCGATCAGACATTTAGTGAAAATTGGTACCAATTTGAGATTTGTCATGACCTCGCGGCTTCACTTTTTTTGGGTCCGGGCTCGTATCCAGATCCGATAACAACTTAATTTTTGGACACGGACTAGACCCACACTCAATTGGGTCCAAAGCCAATTATTTTCTCACTGATATTTGGGGCTTTTTGTCTACGTGACCAAATAAAGGGTCAAGGTTTTTAGCCATTTATTGGTTAGATCAGTATGCTCTTCGCCAAAAATCGTATCGTCGAAAGTCAGTGATACGTTTGTATAAAAGTTTCGGTGATCGTAGTTTTCGACCATCTCATTTTCGGCAATGAAGTATTCAACCATTTGTACACTCAGAAAAAAAGTCAATGTATAAACTTATTTCTTGTTGTCGTTTCTCAAATAGTTCTATTCAGATTCGAAGCTTAATACAAACTGAACCTGAAGATAAATCTGGATGTAGACCGGGACCCGACAAAATCTAAATTTTTGGGCCTGGGCCGATAATAAAATAAATCTTTCAATCGGTCGGGCTCGGGTTTGGCAGGACTCGCAGCTCTCTATCTGGCAGAAGCAGTACAGGATTTCTTTCAGAAAAGGGTCAGCGAATCCATCGGATGAGCGTTACTTGTTTAAAATAAAAATGAAAAATTATTCGACCATTCAATTCGACAAAAAAAAAAGAAATACAATAAACTGAAAATATGACTATTTATTTATTTAATATGATTGATAATATATTCGAGAATACGAATACATTTTAAATAATATTCCTATCTAACAACTATTTCCTCTTTCTTCCCATCTACACAAGAAATTAATTATAACTAAACAATATTATCGAATAAATTTTTATTTTCTTGATTTTACCATAGAAAATATTTCAATAGTTTGCTTTTTGATTTATTCATATTCAAGTAATGGTTATTCTAAATGTATCTAAGAAAATTTTAAAAAAGCATTAATTTCTCATGATATTACATAATACTGTAGAACAGAGTTGGAACTAGTCCGATTCACACAATCTTCTAAACCAGTAAAAACTAACCGGTTTGTTAGATTGTTATTGATCCGTTAATGGGAATGGCTTAAGAAAACATTCATTTTCATTTTTGCATTCAGGTTTTTACAAATCTCCAGAAAGAAACATCACGATATAGTTGTTTATATCTGTTAAGTTTCACAAAGATGAATATGTGACTTTCCTATGTATAGCCTTAAAAAAAAAAGGAGTCATTTACCCATCATCTTATTACTAAACTCCAAATCTTGAATTTTCTTTCCTCAGCTTTTTCAGACAAATCTAACGTTTCTTTTCCAGCGGCGACCTAAACTTGATCTGTACCAAAACATATATGATAGAAGTTTAGCTCAATTAACACAGTTTTAATTGTACTTTTTAAAAAATGAAATATACTTCGACTGAAGAAATAAAATAGTGTGGGCGAACACAAGAAAACGACACTAATAGTTTTTGAACCGAGAGTGTTTGATTATTGTGATCAGAGCAAGCAAACTTGCTCTCAACTAGTTGTATCAGAGAAAAATGGTATATCTATCAAATATTGTCCAATCGTCTATGTCACGTTTTATGTCATTAGCTAAACCTTTTTCAAACACAACAACAAATGAGAATATCTCTTTGACGAAAAAAAAAGACAGCAATACCTTCAGTGAAGTTAATCATGAAAATAATAGCATATTATGATAAAAGTATCATGTTGTTTTTATTCTATGTTATTGAGGTTAAAAGTATACTTCAACAAGCTTGATTCATCATCGAGACAACTGTATCAAAAATAATATTTTTCTACTAGAAAATACTCTAATCATACATGATATAGAATAATAATCTAACTAAGTAGTTAAGCTAGTCTTTTCCTTTTCATTAACAACTATTTAAGGCATACGAAACGTAGTGATGAAAGTACTTTAGTTCCTTATCAAAAGTTTAAAGAAATCTTTTCTCTACATGGAGTGATAGTTAAAATAATGTTCTACATTTCTATGATATTTAATTATTCTTCAATCAATATGATTGCAATCAAATTTCGATAAGAGATACAATAGAGTGCAAAAGACTTTGCTCTATATATAGGTCAATTTTTTGAGACCATATCTCTCGAAGTTTCTGAAAAGATTTTTTGAGCACATTTTGATACGTAAGAAGAAGTATTATATATAGCTGTGTATACCGAGATTTGTCATAAATATCCTTTCCATTTGGAAAAAATGTCGCAACCACGAAATTTAAGTTTCATGAAAACAAAGCGTTCAGCTATTTTACATGTTTGGAATAATGGCCACCAATCTCCTGCGACAATTTCTCGTATAACAAAGATTCCTGTTCGAACTGTCAACTATAATAGCGCCAAGATTAAAGAACAAGGTACAATTAATGACCGACCAATTAAGAAAAAATGTTCATAATCAAGACGACACGTCAATATCATTTATAAATAGAGTATTATTTAGCTGAATGTACACACATAAATTCTTTCATATTCATATGTAATGACTCTAGCTGTAACTGTAATTCAAAAATTCGTCAAATACAAAATCATTAGATATTTCAACAATTGACACTCGCCGAAACTTTCTAATAAAAATCTCTCATCAATTTATATATTCAAACAACGGATTCTACAACTAAGACATATAAAAAAAATAATTTATTCTTTTTTACAATTGTCCTAATATAAATGCAATTAAGTAAAAGTTTTAGTATCGAACTATATGAATAATACATTCAATCACTGAGAAGATGCGGATCATTTTTATCACAATCAATTGATTTTAATTCAATAAAATTTTCTTATAATTCTGTAAATTATGATAAAATTATTCCTAAAATTAGTTGAAATTAAATATTTGTAATATAAACAAAATTCATATGAGAGAAAAGCGCCAATTTTTCTTACTCTATGATCGATCATACTGTTTTTTACGTTCTAATTTTCATTTTATTCTCTTTAATTTTTCCTTTGATATACAAAAATTCATAAATAAACAAAATTGACTTTATAAAAACAATGGTTGAAACACAAAAATCTTCAACTGCATTACAACAAGTAACATCAAATGATGTTTCAACAATATGTTCAAAATGTGGTGAAAAAATTTTAAATGTAATGACAGCTGATGAAAATAAAGTTTATCATCCACATTGTTTTAATTGTTCGGATTGTGGTAAAACTTTAGCTGGTGGTTTTTTCTATAAATCAAAAAATACTAAAATTGATGAATCAACAATAATATCAAGAAATAATCTTACTGAACCAGTACGATTTTGTGAAACATGTTATAAAAAAGTAGCACCAAAATGGTATGTTAAATAGAATATATAAATCAAATTGAAAGAAATTTATTAATTTAGTGCTCGATGTCATAATATAATTGAAGCATCATCAATTGTTTGGGAAGATAAAAAATTTCATGAATCATGTTTTACTTGTTGGGGAGTTGATAAAAATGGTGTTCAATGTGAAAAGGTGAGATTTGATTCAGTCTAGTTTCATCAACTAATTAAGATCAATTAAAGAAATTTTCCAAATGTTCGACAAATATTGTTTTTCCATTTGACAGATCGTATTTTAATAATTAAGTGTTTAGTCGACAAGTTAAGATGCAAGTAATAGAGAACACCAAGAATTACTACTTGCTTATTAAAACTTAACTTAAAAATATAGCTCATAGAAGTATTTTTGTTTATTTTTCAATAATAAAATTGGACAAGAAGAGATATGATGTTGGTCTTCTCTTATATCAACACACCAAGGGAAAGTAGCTAGATGTCAAAAATTAGAAATCCTAATAAATCGTTCCTGGAAAACTTTTTTCTAACGAAAGAACATCTCCAGATGTCAAATTGCTTTTCGATCGAGCCGATATTCGTTTGATGAGATATGGAAATTTTATTAGTTTTTTTTTTCAACAAAAAGTTCCAGTTCTCCTCAAGTCACGTAAAAAATCCACTTTCGAGTCTCGACTTCAAACTTTATAGGAACAAAGTTCTTAATATGATTCGTTTATTGGCCATGTTATAACTTTTCTGATATTTCCTATCGTGAGATATTCAATATTTGGAATTCTCTCATGTGTAAAAGCAAATCTTGTTCGTATACTTACATCTCTAGAAAAGAAATACTAGAAACACTAAAACTTGCAGAAACAACCAGTCTCATCAAGAACTTTATTCGTTCAAACTTTGAAGTCAAAACTCGAAAGTTGATTTTCTACGTAATCTGTGAGGTAGCACAGCTTTTTGTTGAAAAATTCGATAAAATTTCGATATCTCAAGAATGAAGACCATTCTAGACTTTTCTATCACTCACTAGCACTCATCAAATGAACATCCTCTCAATCGAAACGTGACTTGACAACTTGAGAAGTTTTCTCGTAAGTTTTGATCAATAGAATATAATATGGTACATAGTACAACTGTGAGAATAAAAACGAAATCTGTGACCCCAAAAAGATTTAGATTTTCAACATTCTACTTTAGACATTTTCACTTTCGACATTTAATCACCAAATCCACACAAACACTCACACTCTTGTTCGTTTAGATCATCATCTATAAAACATTAGTAGTGATTCACTTCTACGGTGCCCTATCCACTTTTTAAAACGCTGAATACTCATTATATGCTTAATTAATTGAACCTTAACTTGTCAACTAAACGCTTAATTATTAGATTTTAGTCTGTCGAAGGAAGAAAAAGTTGTCGACGAAACATGATGATACAATTAGATTCATTTTTCTTTTCTAAAATAATTTTATGAAATTATTGTTTATCTAATTATAGCCGATGAAAGATGAACCTGTTTATCCATTGAATGATAAATGGTATTGCAAAAATTGTTTTGATAAATTAGATACTGGTGTTAGTGCTGCTACAAGAGATATTCTCAGTCAAAAATGTCGTAAATGTTATAAAGAATTTGCTCCTGGTTCATTAGTTAGTGAATGTAAGTTTTTTTTTTTCTAAGATTTATTTCAGATTTATTTTAATATTATATTATTATTTAAGATAAAGGAGATTATTATCATCCAACATGTTTTATATGTTCTCAATGTAATACATCTATTGCAAGTAAATCATTTTATCATCAATCAAAATCTGATGATCAACAATCCGAAGTAAAATTTCTATGTGAAAATTGTCATATTAAAAATGCACAAGAATGTGCAGAATGTAAAAATAAAATAGTTAATGGTGAAGCAAGTATGTTATTTAATTTTTTGTTTTTTTTTTGATTATATAAATAATTATAAAATAAACTCCTTTTTTCTTTTTTCTAGTCGGTTTTGAAGGTAAACAATATCATCGATCATGTTTTACATGTCAAAATTGTCATAATGAAATTGGTACAGCACATTTTTTTAAAACTAAAGATGGAAAATATATATGTCAACAATGTTCACTTCAACAACAACAATATGATACTCAAACGAAATAGATAAATAGAAAAATAGATTTTTTTTTTTTAGTTAAAAATTTTTTTCATATAAATAATATTAATTAACAGATTAATTAAATTATATTTTGACTGATTTTCATTTTTTTTTCTTTCGATTATTTTAATAAAGATAATTGATGAATTACTTGATTCAAGAAAAGCTAAGTAGAAATAAAATAAATAGTATTGCTCTTATAAAGTATAACCTCTCTTTAGTGGACACTCTTCAGACTTTTCAAAAGTGTTCACTACAAGTTTTTTTTACAAGAAACAAAACACTTTTTCTAAGTATCTGAAGGTGATTAGTGAATAAAATAATTTGTTATTGCTTATTGTTATTTCTCTTGTCAGGTATTTTTCATCTTCGAAAATTAACAATTATTAAAATTTCTCTGTCGTAGACACCAGTAGAACTATTCGAAAGCATACATCATAGAACTACATGACTGTGTATACTATAGTGAGACTCAACATCGGACCATGAAATACCTACTATAGGAGATTTTACTGAAGTTCGATAGCAACAGGAAAAAGAAAATCTTGAAAAACATGCGTGTCAAAACAAAATTAATTTTTAAAATGACTAAAAATTTACAAGATTGTCTTGACTAAAATCATTCATAGGTTTTTAAAAATTCTCTATGAACCAATCGAGAATTCAGATAAAAACGAAAAATAATTCTTCTTGAATATTTTACTATTTTCTTCATAATTTATTTGGTTCTCTTCTTTTCTTTTGCTCAAATATTTATTTGTACAAAATGATATAGTAATTCTATACTCTTTTTTTTTCACATCGCATTTTTAATGAGAAAATAATCATTATCTAGATTAGTCGAACATTTTATCGCTTCATCAGTCATCAACCTTCGAGATTAATCTATGTTATATATATATATATCTTCTCATAGATTAAATTCAAGAACAGAAAATCAATTTATTCATCGAACAATATGTTCAACAAAGAATTCAAAAGCTCTACTCGATAAAAGTATCACTTATATATTGATTTAAATTTTCAATTATATTCAATATAATTTCAATAATAGAGAATTACAATTCATAGTATTATGATATATGCTGAAAAATTTTCTTCATTATTGTTCTATTACATGAATATTGTCATGGTCAATACTATCTCTTAGGAAAAGAAAATAGAAAGAAAGATAATTCTCATTATAGATCAATGTGTTAATATACTGAGGATAATGTCATGGTCTCTTATTTTTAGGAAAAGATCAGAACATAAGCTATATTTCTATCTTATCACTAATATTGTTTCTTTAAGTATGATGACATTTCTTTAGGCAATCTGTTCTCTATCATTTAACTATCAATAAATAAAAACATAGAAAAGTCCAGATCATGTATCGATATGTGCAATAAAAAAAAAAATAATAAATATATTTTTTGTAAAAAAAAAAAAACTATACAGATGACAATAAAAAACTGAAGATAAATGTTTATTGATAATCGATGATAATAGTTTTTTCCTGAGTTTAAAAAAAAAAAAGAAAGCAGAACCGGTATTGCGATGCGCACCATCAGAAGACGGACGGGATAAACGTTCGTGCTTCGCATTTTGTTTGCTTTTAGAAATTATTATCGTCGTATTAAATCAATAGAAATAAATAATATAAATAAAAGAAAATATTTCATTTGAATTTTCGTTGATGATGATGATGATACAATACTCAATAGAGTATTACGATTGTTATTATTATTATTTCGATATCCATCAATTATGATGGATTTTTGTTGTTGTATTATTAAATTATCAAATAAAGTTAATGTTACATTAAGATATCGATCATCTTGTTGTTTTGAATATGGTAAAAAATAATTTGTTATCGTCTAGATAAAACAAAAGATTCGATTACATCATTACTAGAATGTACTTATATATAATCTTACAGGCAAAAGATCAACAGAAATAAGTTCAATATGACTTGGCAGTTGTTCAATACGCAATTGATAGATAATATTACTATCATCATGAACTAATTGATTATATACATATATAAATTATCTTTTATTGATTAAAGATAAAAATTTACTTACCTAATAAACGCATATCATGCCAATAAAATTGAATACCAGATTCATTTCTTGTTATAATAAGATTAAGTGATGATAAATTTTCATTTATTTGACATGATGGTCGAATTGTTCCATAAATTTGAATTAATTGACAAGAACTAACATTAAAATAAATTTGAAAAGATTTTTTTATACGTAATTTTGATACAATTGGTTTTATATTTAATAAATATGTACAATTAAAACGTAAATCATATAATTGAAAAAAACTTTCTATTGTTACAGCATCACGTCGATAACAACATGGTAATATATCTGATGAACAATAAGTTTCAATCCAATATAAATCATATTGTTGAATACGATAATCATTTATTTTATTCCATGATATATTTGTTTTAATTAAACCATTTATAAAATATGGTTCTGATATATAAAAATTTTTTATTGAAAAAAATTCTTCTTCATAATTAAATTTTATTGATATTGGTATACTCATTTGTAATTCATCATCATCGGGAATAATTAATGAACGAATCTATACACCAAAGTAAAGTGGATACTTGACCTTTGTTAAAAATGAGTACTTACTTTGAAAATATAAGATGTATGCATAGACAGAAATGGAATAGTCAATTCTAATGGATATAATGATGAAGAAATATCGATTGTATTTACAAGTAGAGATGGATCATTCTGTGCTTCCCAAGAAATCTAATTAAGAAAAAAATAATAATAAAAAGTAACACATTTAATCAAACCTGATATCCATTTATTGAAGAATCTGGTTTTTGCCAACTAAGTGTTATATTAATTGTATTTGAATTTAATTGATAATCTTTTATTGACAGATTTCTTGGTGTTGTTATTGTTGATAATGATTTCTGTGATTCATTTTCTAAACCGAAAAAAAAAAAAATTTTTTTTCATTAAATATTTCATTTTCTTAGTTCTTTTTATTTTTCTTTACGTGAATTTAAACGAAAAGGTTTTGTTGTTATTGAAAAAGATGAATATCCATGTCGTGTTACAGCAGCAACACGAAATGTATACCAACGATTATCTCGTTGAATATTTCTTATAATTGCTTTTGTATGTGAAACTTCTTCTTTAACAAAACCCCATTTTGAAATAATATCTTCTTGATTAATAATTGTTTTTGGTAATGTCCATTGTGCTTCAATAACATAAAAAATAGGTTCAATATTTGTCACTCCATTTGAACTCCATTTAAGTTTTACAGTTCGTCGACTTTTTCGTTCAATAGCAGTAATATTTTTCGGTTGAGGAATTTTTTCTATAGAAAAAACAAAACAAAAAACAAACGTATGTTTTTTTTTCTCACATTTATCATTTCCTCGCGTGCAATACAAGGCTAATTATGAGCAGCTTTTTTTTTCCCTTCTCCTGTCCAATATGTCAATCATTATTTTACGATGGCATCCGGGACACCTGCATGAATCGATCAACTTACCGAAACAATCATTCGTTGGTGAACATGATGATGATTGACAATCGTCTAAAAAAACATAAAAATGATTACTTTTGATGTACAAATAGAATAATCCTATTCGATCTGTCTCTTTTTCTCTTTCTCCTGAGACATCATATAACAACAACAATAACAACGAGAAAAAAAAATGAACGGCCTAGACAAGTCTTCAGGCTAATTTAAACATACTTCGTCTTAGCGAATGTCATTTACTTTTTCTTTTTTTTGAAACAACTCAAATTTCTTTCTCACCTGTCAAACAATTGGATTGTTGTTGATAAAGATCTTGAATAAAAATACAACTTCGTTGACATTCAACGTTTCGTAACTAGAAATGACACAAAAAAAAAAAAAAAAAAAAAAAAACGAAATAAAAATAAAAGACAAAGAAAAAAACAAAATCAAAGTCTAATTATTGATCTTCATTAACCCTATTTTTCCAGTCTATTTATTTGTTTCACATTCTTTTCTTCATTTTCCATATCTGCTTTCTGCTATTTCTTTCTATTATAAATATACACACAGTTGTCGACATCATTCGTTCATCACAATGAACATATCATCTTTCTTAGTCTTGTTTTTTACTATCGATAATGAGCTCGACAGATACGAGGTCATGCTTTAGATCATAGATAGAAAATATTAAATGCATAGAAAAATACTTACTGTAGAACAGATTGCTTGACAACTTTGTTCGTTGGACAAGAGAAGTGGCGGATCTAAGTCACATGGGAGTAGACACTAGAATGTACATAAAGAAACAAGTACAAACAGATTGACTTGTTAGCATACTGATGAGAAAAGAAAGAAAAAAGTGAATTATCCGATTTCCGACTAGTCTATAGTGGTTTGTCGGTCAGTGAGATTCTTCATAATTGAATTAGTTATACATTAGACTCTCTATTTCTCATTAGATGTGCATTTAGATTAGCTATCATATGAGACAATCATACATTTTTTACCTCCTTCCATTCATTCGGTCAATTTACTTACCGAGCTACATGTGATAAGGCGTGGACAACGTTTCCAAATGGATCGCCACGGTAAAGTTAGTGCATTTGTCGTCTAAAATATAATCATAATTATTGAAGACATTCAATCGATAGTTGATTTTTTCTTTTTTTTTCTTTGTTTTCTTATCTCGTATTGTCAAATCATTATTGTCATAATTATAATGTATGTCAATGTACATATGTGAAAAGAAAATGAAATTAAAGAGACAGATCGTACACAATTGTTAAAAGATCATTTTTATATTTGACAAAAAAAAACTAACTTGTTCATTTCATTAAATTTAAGTCAACATCATTAGTTAGAATGAAAAGCAAAAGGAGAAAACATTTTCTTTCTTTTTATTATCATTCTCAATTTTCGATTTATTCTTGTATATATTTATTTAGTGTCTTGTCATCATATTGAATGAATGATAGACGAGACACCTCATCTATAAAGATAACAAAATTTCAACTAAATGAGAATCGGAAGCACCTGTGTGTATGTTTGAATAACACCTTCGTTTTTTTTTTTTTTTTTGTATATTTTTCTTGTTATAACTGAAACAAATCAAATTTGATATTCTTCGAACTAATTTTGTTTGTCAAACGACTTAATCGACAAAATAAAGTGAATGTATACACCTAAGGCTTAATTGTACATTTCTCGATAGAAGATGAAAAGAAAGGTGTTTAATGCTTTTATTTTCAACTAAAAAAAAAACAAAAAACGTCTTCATTAGCAATCGAAAGAAGAAATAAGAGAAAATACTATTTATATTTTTTTAAATTTAGATCAAAGTCGATCAATTTTCATTTCATTATATCGATTTATCGTTCTTGAATATTATTTCATAGGAAAAGTTTAACCAAACAAATAAATCAACATAGTGTGCATGTTTTCTTAACCTCGTAGGAAAAGTCCATCGACATACATCCTTTACTCAGCATGTAACACACTCACAGGTGAGAGACACTCACTAGGTGGGTATAAAGACTAATCTTGAGTGTCAATTATAGATAAAGAAATTTTCACTTGTGCTTTTTTGATCTCACCAGTAGTCGTTTCGTTTTTCCATTATTGAACATAGATGGTAATGATCGTTGTTGATGTTGATGATTTCGATATTCATATAAGCAACGAGCTTTACATTGTGCTGATATTAAAGAATTATATCGAATATTAGATATATCATCTGTTGTTGTTGTTGCTGATGCTGCTGTAGTTGAATAAATCAATTGAAGAGAAAAATTGATAATAATAAAAACAATCATGATGTATATGATGGTTAATCTAGCGAAATATATTTATTGTATATTTATATAGATATATATGTGTACTTTGATAAGATCAAACGTTGAAATGAAAAAGAAAATTAGCTACTGTACAATACATATGCGTATGACTCGCGATTTTTCCAATATGTGAGACGATAGTAATGGCGATGGTTGTGAGTATGTTCGCCCACCCACTCTATGATTTCTCTCTTTTCTCTCTCTCTCGTTCTCGTTCTCTTTCTCTATCGTTCTGTCTTGCGTTCATTGTTGTTCGGTCTATTTATTTTTTGAACTCCATACTAGAACAAGAGAGTAGTACATTTAGACAATACGGAGAAAAAAGGAGAACAAAAAAGAAAATTATTCCATCAATGCCGATCATTATATATATATATACAATTGTCCTATGTCCGGCAAAATGATCGTACTAGTTTAATGTCCAATATGGAGATCTCACATTGATCGAGAATCAAATTCTCATAAAAAGAATTTAATCGAATTAAAAAAAAAAAAAAACCAACAACAACGATCATTTGAATAACTAACAGGAACACCTATTGTCAAAAATGTCGACTCTTACGCACGTCTATTTCCATGTGTTCTCAATCTTCTATCTATCAAAAAAAAAAAACACCGCTCTATTCTATTTGATAGAACAGGAAGTGCGGACAGCGCACACTCTTCAGGTAATTGTATATGTACGATGGAATGCATTGCCGTTTCAAGTGGTTGTTGCCGATCGCCATATGGACAGATTTTTTTTTTGCTTTATGACAATGACGATAGACGTGATAACGAAGGCTAGTTTAAAATTCAAGTAGTCAGAAATATGTATACGTATATAAATCAAGGCAAAAAAAAAAACAATAGTTTCACTTTTTCTTTCACTTCTAACATTGCTCATTGAAGTAGACGAATAATCAATCTAATTTTTTTCTTATTATTTCTTTTTTTGTTAAAACAAGTGTGACATAATCCTATTGTCGCCTGTTTTAAAGTGGTCTTTTTTTTTTATATTTGTGCGCACACCTTTGAAGAAAAGACAATGTCATTTCCTCACTCTATTTTATCATTGCTGCATAGTAATGATAGTGAGTATGATGACAGATCTAAAAAATCGAATTGACGATGTGAGATGTATGAGAGAGAGGAAAAAATGTCACGCAAATTAGTTCCTCCTTCTCTATATTGTCCTCTCATACCGAGTGTTGTTGCTTATATATATATATGATCGATTCATAACGGAAAGGAAATGGCGTAATAAGACGCCGCTTTTCTTTTTCTTTTAGTTTGACAGAGAAAATAGAGAGAGAACCATCAAATTAATTTATTCCAACAATCGAGAAGTGGCCTCTTTGCTGTCGTTGTCAATTTATTCTCTCTCTTATTTTTTGGCGTGTACACACATATATATATGTATATATATAAATATATATATATTTGGATGTTACGTCAGTCATCATATTACAATCTCAGAATTACCAACAAAAAAAAAAAAAAAAATTTATTTTCTTCGCAACTCATCAAAACTGTATGCTTCGTATTATTCTTATCTATCACCCGGAAATTGAGATTCTTATATGTGTAACTTCGATTACAAGAGCATCTAATAAAGAGCCATTGAAAAAATCTTTGATAATATGTTACTTTGTTGAATAATATTGATAATAATCTT